GCTCTTCCAGGGGGCAGCCCGTCTGCAAACCAGCCCTTAAAGACTCCAGTCGTGGAAGCCCGGAGCTCCGACGCCCCGCGCCTCACTTTAGGCCGGGGCAGCCTTTCCCCTCCCGGAGGCAAGTCCGCGCCAGGGGCAGGGCCCTGCTCCCGTGGGCCCCTTCCGAAGCCAGCAGGAGGCGAGGGACCCGGAGCGGGAGCGGGGGTTTTAAACGGCTCTGTGTGGGCGGCAGGGATCCGGTTTTCTTAAGAACGGATTAAATGTTAAAAAAAAAAAATCCCTGCCGCTCCCCCCGGAAATTCGCTGCTCACCGGGGCTTGTCCGCGGGCAAGGGTTTTCTAGGCCGTGCGGGCCTCCGATGCAGCCGCAGAGCTAAATAACAAACAACTCGAGCGGGAGCGGGGGTTTTAAACGGCTCTGTGTGGGCGGCAGGGATCCGGTTTTCTTAAGAACGGATTAAATGTTAAAAAAAAAAAATCCCTGCCGCTCCCCCCGGAAATTCGCTGCTCACCGGGGCTTGTCCGCGGGCAAGGGTTTTCTAGGCCGTGCGGGCCTCCGATGCAGCCGCAGAGCTAAATAACAAACAACTCTTCCAGGCGCGTTGGGCCGGCCCCGAGAGACACAAGGGCGCAGTCCACGAGGGGGGGTCGCTAGTGGGGTAAGCAGCCTCGGAGACCTCGGTCCAGTCCTGCAAATGCGGATGCGCTTTACTATCGCGCTTAATTTTCGCCGCCGGGAGTAAAGTTAAGCACCCGCGCAAAGGTTTCCAGGAACAAAAACTGCACCGCAGCACGGTTTCGACTCACGGATCTCTTTGTCCTGGGCCACTAGGACAACACAGAGGTTTGCCAATGTCTTTTGTACACAGTTGTTGTTAAGAAAACAATTCTCCTCCCCCGACCCCAGTGACAAGAGGGAAGCATCCCTTGCCGGAGGTCACATCCAAGTTTTCCCTCCTTAGATCAGCGTCCGCAAATCGCGTTGGAAATGTCTGTTTTGGCGAGGAAAGGCCTTTCCTCGGCAGTTGCGCAGCCTATTTATA